TATCTCTATGAGAACATCAGAAAGCTCAGTACTTTTGAACTGAAGTGCTTCTTAATAGTCATTTTCATAAAATGAACGATAGATATGGTTTTATGATAAATTAATGAAATTTGGTAAATGTGGTAGTATTAGGTAATTTTATCATGATACCTTAGAGCCTTGAATGAAACCCATTTGTTCAGTAAAATTTACTTTTCAGTTCTGTATTTTGTATTGAATGTGAGGTGATAAGAAATGTAATTTTGAATGCCGAAACTTTCTGTAAACCGGTGACATATGAGCAAAGGCATTACCAAATGAATGGTTTAAATACCGTATGTTTTGCTTTTATTAACCAAAATGATGTTATTTTAATCAGAAATGTCATCAGCATACATTGCGGTAATTTTCCCAGAATTATTTTTGCTGTGTAATTTTTCAGAAAATTTTAAAAAATAATGCTACTATAATTTTATACCTCAAATATTAACCACTGAACCTATTTCTGCGAACATTTGAGTTTCATGTACATTGTATAAGCAAAGTCCTCTGTTTTTCTTAGAATTGATTTCACACAGAATGATTGGTAGACTTATTTTATTCACGCTTAGTACTTCTAATTGAAAGATGTAAGGTATGAAATCAATAATAAAATAATTAAAAGTATTTTTTTTTCTAAATGTGTCTTTTGTCAAAGTATTAGTATATCAATGTTGATTTAAGGAAATAAAATAAATAACTCAGTTATTAACCACTGAACCTATTTCTACGAATATTTGAGTTTCATGTACATCGTGTAAGAAAAGTCTTCTGCTTTTTTTAGAATTGATTTCACACACAATGATTAGTAGACTTATTTTATTAACGCTTGGTACTTCTAATTGAAATATGTAAGGAAATATGTAAGGTCTATTCAATAATAACATAATTACAAGCATTTTTTTCTAACTTTGTCTTTTGTCAAAGTATTAATATATCAATGTTGATTTAAAGAAATAAAATAAAATCAGTATTCAGCCCACTATATATTTACAAATAAGAAAATCTTTAGGTTCCTAATAATTATGTAATAAACAATGCTTTAACTGTAGAAAAAACTTATTATTGACTGTCTAAACAGAAAAAAGTAATAAAATATTCACATGAATACAAAAGGGAGCTTTAAAAAAGAAATACGACGTGATGTTTATCACAGATCTGCATTGAAATGTCTTTTAGAGAAGCAATTTTTACATCAAAAATTGACATAAAATTCTTTAAAATTGTTGGATGCTCGCTAAGTATCATGTTTAGTTTGTAAGACGATAAAAGAACTTTTAAAGTACTTGATACAGCTATTTGTAGCTGCCACTCAAAGAAAAAGTTATTCATGTAATGTGAGCTTTAAATTATATTCATGAACACCAGAAGTCTCTCCTGAGAGATCGATTAACTGTCAAAAGCTTTTCTTTTATTAAAACTGCTTGCAGTTTATTCTTGGTTTTCTTGAAACTTTTATGTCTTGGTTAAATTTATGACGCCTTTAAAATATCTCACAATATTATTTTAAAATATCTTAAACATGTTTTTAGCGCGTCGTGCTAAAATCACCGTAATATACTTAAAATGAAATTTAAATTTATATCATTGGTAAAATTTGTCTCATTAAATTCTAATTATAATTCTATAGGCAAATGAAATATTTAAATATATAAATTTATATGTACTTGACGCAAATTAGGTACTAGCTAACCAATCAAAGAACACCTCCCGTCAATGAGTTAGAAGCTACTATGGAAATATGAAACAGCGCATTTCAAAAATGGAAGATTTACCAGAATTAAAATCGTATCCGATAAAAAATCCGCTCCAATTATTTTTCCCGAACTTATTCTTGAACTAGTTTAACATCCCATGCAAAGTCCCAGATATTATTCTACACAGCTGGCGTCGAGAGCTAACTAGGTTTCGCAGAGAGTGCGCATATATGCCTTTTTATACAACAACAAAAATGAAACATTTCTTAACCAATCTGCTCCATTGCATATGTTTTTTTAAGTACTGTACGCTTTTTTGGCACTTTAACCTACGGTCTGTGAACTACAAACCAAATAATGACTTTTCTATGGGTTTAAAATCGAAATCATCCTTGCAATTAAAAAGCAGATGACACTGAATGAGAGAACTTACACAAGACTATTTCACACATAGTGTTTACTTTGAGTAAATATGTCTTGTTCATATAAAATATGTTACAATTCATTCTTTTTTAGCCAATAATATAATTTAGGAATTATTAAGATTTTAATTATTTACGAAGTAGATAATCATAGTTATTTATAAATTAAATCATAGAATCATATAGATGCATTTTACAAATTAACAAAAGCTGTAACCTTCCAAACAAAAGATACCGTTAATCTTCTCCTAAGGGAAGTCGAAAAGTAAGCATTTGTTTTAGATAAAATAGTATTATTTTATTAAATTGTTCGCGAAAAAAATTAAATTTATCTCTTACGTTCAAATTAATTAACTATGCTTAGAATAATCCATGCTCAAGTTTTCACAAAACTGTAGAAAAAATTCAATTATCTGTATCAAAATGAATAGATTATGAGACTAGACAAATTTAATGCTTAAAGTTTTAATATTAAGTTATTTGCAAGTAGTTTCCTTTAATGGATTCTTTTCAGTAAAAATAAATTAGAAGAAATTTGTTTAGATCGTATCTCTCCCAAATCGTACCGCCTTTAATTTCTACAGAAGCACTGTGTACAGTTCGCACAATAAACAACGAACCGATCCTGAATAATTTTTTATCTAATGATTTGATGTCCAAGTTCAAGGACTCAATGCTTCGAGAAGGTGTGTTTAAATATGCTTATTAATTAGAGCACATAATATTTTAAGTTGCGAAATTTGTACGTACTTTGTACGTAATTTGTACGTACTTGAAAAACGTACTTTTACTAAATAAACATAACTCTTTTCGACGGAATCTGAATTAAATAAAATAATCAAAAATGATAAATATTCCCTAAAACTTAATTTTTTGCATGAAATTAACTTTGTTGTAAACGAATTTAATAATTGTTTGCAAACATAATTCAATTCATTTAAAAAGTGCTCGGTATATAGCGAATTACGCAAAAAATAAAATTAACATTAAAGGGTTCAAGCTTTAGGACCATATTTCCCAAATAACGGCTACACCCTATATTTTGGGAGTTAGAAACATGAATTCGTCGAAAAAAATGTTTATTCAGAGAAAGTACATATTTATTTGGGATTCCGTAACTTAAATTTTCGTATGTACAAGTTAATTAATACATTTAAAGTCACCCCGTCGAGCCATTAAGATTCGGTGTTAGAACGCAGAGATCCAATCATAAAACTAGAAGTCTTTCAGGGTTGTTTGTTTATTTATTTATTTTTCTGCGCACTGTGCAGAAAGCTCTAACAGTTAAATAAGCAAAGTTTTCTTTCACGTGGATATGTATGAAGAATAATTAAATCACTCTGTTCTTACGTTATGTTTTTACTTAGGTAATCGATTTAACAAGCTTTCAAAGTAATTTTAAAATTCTCTGTGTAAATATATAGCAGAACTAAGCTAATGTGATGATTTTCTAATGTATCAGATAATTGTTGAGCAAATTATTCTGTTATGTTCTGCATGCTTCTTTGGTTGCTAGCAATTGTTTTGGAATAGCACTTAGATTCACATGTCCTGCCCCACATCATGCCAGTATGATTTTAGAACTACTTATCAACTTCAACTGCTGCACAGGTTGAGTTTTAAGCAATCTAAAAAATGAATTAGAACTCTGTTTGAAAGGATTTATTTATTCTGCTGCTTCAATCTTTATTTGAACAAACTTTTTAGAAAGAGAAAACTTGAATCTACATTTTTAGAAATTTGTCTTAACCACTCGTTAGAATATTTTACTACTAATAGTTAAATAACAACTTATTTAATTGGTATTTTACCATGTTCAAACAAAACAGTCAATTAACCATGAATAAGATTGTAATCAAACTGTCAGCTTTGAGAAAAACCGTTTAGTTACTTTTCTCACCTAGTACAAATAAAAAACCAGAATTTTATCGCACCAACTAAGCCCAATGCCTAAAACTAGCCGGCAAAGTATGAAAAGATTTGTATTTCACACATTGCCTAGGCATTCTATAGAACACTAAATGCATTTTAGGCAAAGTATGAAATAATTGTCCTGATAAGGTTATTATGTAAATGATGTGCATGTTACTGTGAATGACCGAAATCGGTGGTTGGTGACTTTCACCGGTGAATGTTGACAATCACATAGTCGCTTTGGTGAATGTCCGAACATATATAATACCGGTAACATATATAATGCGGTGACAGAAATCAATTTGATTTGAATAACACTGAAAATAGGCTGAGTTTTTTTGATTGATAAATAACCGTTATGTGTTGTAATGATGATGTGATTTTAATGTGTTATGTGTGTGTGTAATTGAAGCGTTCTTGTGTTGTCTTATAGTACTGACAAAATTCACGGGAAGTATAATTTTTGATTTTTGATTATTTTTGACTATTTATATATCTATGTACATATATCTTACGTAGTCCAATTTTTATCTTTATTTATGTATTAGTTGCTATATTTAGGGGAGGGCGGCCTAAAGCGGGTAGGCTAACAATAAACACTCAGAAGTTGTAGTTTTTGGGCTTTTATCGCAGCGTTTTTTATTTTATTTCTTAAGAGAGATCTTGAACTTTAAAATAAAAAATGATTATTGCGTTATTTTAAATTTTATGATTATTTATTATCAAAAATAAAAAACACTGAAAAAAACCGCTTTGCCCTACAAGGGGGCCTAAAGCGGGTAGGCCGTTCGGGCAAAGCGGGTAAGCACCATAGATATTACATATACAAGAGCATATTAATTTTCTTAAACATTAATAATGAGACCTTAATCACGCGTATAAAAAACTTTAACAATAACATTCAAATGACAATTTTAGACTAATTTTATCAGTCTCAAATTATGATTTGTTATTCTTGACATAGTTCGCAAAAATAAGACCCTCTTCCTGAATAAGTTGTGCAAGCTTCATGAGCCCAATCTTTACAATCTCCACATTCAATCCAATCTTCTAGCGGTGGGTCCTCATAGGGGTCCCCACAAACAAGACAAAAATACTCTTTTAAATTTTTTTTCTTTGAAGCTCTTTGTTTTTTAGTTTTACCTAGTTTACTTGTCGAAGGAAGATTTTTAAATTTTTTTTTAACAACAGCATTGTTACTAAGACGTTTCTTCTTTTCTTCCTTTTCAATTTGCATATTTCTAAATGGTGAACTTGTTAAAATTTCAGCTCTCTGAGTTTTACGTTTACGACTGGTTTTGTTCGGAGTAGGTTTTGGTAGCGGTCTAATATCCAAAGGCTTCACATGAGGTGTCAATAGCTCTTCTACTGGTTGAAATGAATTCTCACTAATAGTCGTAGAACATGAAGGATCATCTTCAACAGCTGGATCATACGAAGTTTCCTCGTTTGTGCGTCGTAGCGAAATCCTTGATGCTTGAGAGTATTTGTGATCCACGTTTTCAAATACAGATGTAGAAGTAGAGCAATCAGAATTATTAGCAAGACGACCAGCATCAGTAGATTGGATCTGCGATGGGCAAGCGTTGGTGCTTTCAATAACTTCAGCCCTGTCCGTCAAACTAGCAGGCAAAAAGTCAGCATCACTAAATATGTGTCGGTTCGTGGGCCATATTCCTGAGGATTTAAATCCTTGAACAGCATTTTGTGCACTAGCTGCTTTTAAATATGCTTTTCCAATAAGTGCAGCTACGTCGTACTGAGTAATTATTCTACCTACATGGCTTCGTTGAAAAGTAGAAACTTCTTGTTCAAAGTAAGTTTTGAACGGTCCATAAACGCAACGGTCCAGAAGTTGCATGCGATGAGTTGTATGAGGAGGCAGTGATATAAAAATTAAATTATTTTTTCTAGCATATTCAAGGGCCTCAATATATTTGTGAGATTCATGGTTATCTAATATTAAGATTACTTTTTTCTCAGGAGTTGGATGGGTATTTTCGACGAAATGATGAAGCCAATCCAGGAATTTCGGTCCATTAATCCATCCGTTGTCAGTGCAAGTAGCAAGGGAACCAAGGGGTGCTCCATCTAACAATCTACCAACCATTCTTTTTCTACCATAAATAAAAAATGGAGGTATAAAAGATCCAGCCGCGTTGCAGCAGCAGATAACAGTCGTCAATTTTCCTCTTTCCGAGCTTGAAATTACACTCACCTGTTTTTTCCCTGATTTTGACAAAATTGTCGGAGGTTTATTACTAGATGCATGAATGCCAGTTTCATCCATATTGTATATTCCTGTTGAATCAATGTCATGCTCATTAATTTCTCTTTCCAACAAATCATAAAATCTGTAAACTTGAGGCCGATTGAAACCTCGTGCTCTTGCAATTGATGTTGGTTCTGGTTGCCTAACAACTAAATTAGGATGTCGTTTTTTAAAACCCAAATACCAATCATTTCCAGCACTGCCGTTCTTAAAAGGATGAACGATATTATTGCGTTCTGCATACTCATAGACTAGTTTCAAAAATTCATTTTTAGTTAAGCCGTAGAAAAGATCATCGACTTGAAATACGTATTCCAATAACTCAGCCTCTTGCTCATCATTGAATACTCTTCGATATCGTCCAAGATTTTTACTGCAACTGCCCTTTCTTAGATGTCTTTGTAGAGTAGAAAGTGGGATACCATACTTTTTAGAAGACGCAGTAACCGAAGTGGTCTCAGATTCCTTCATTGCATTCTTCATGGCCGTTTCACACCAGGCCGCCTGTTCTGTTTTTCTCTTGTATTTATTTACCATCTATACAAAAATACAGAAAAGTTAGTGTAAGAATCTATCGGGGCAAAGCGGGTATCTACCCGTTTTGCCCTACCCGCTTTGCCCAAAAGGATATTTTTTACTAAAAAAATTATAACCTTAGATAAAAAAAATTTGAAAAAAATTTAACACCGTAGTTTATAGGTGAATAGTGTTAGAATAATATAATAATATTGACAATAAAAAAAATAAACCGGCTTTCGACTAACCACAAATTACGTAACTTGAGTTTTTTTAATAAACTTATCAATTTCTTTATTTTGTGCTTGGTTAAGTCACGTCGCTTTACTTCTGCTCTGCTGGGACTGATTGAAACTCGTGAGTATTCGGGTAATCACGGCAAACTTAGATATTGGCGCTTGCGCGCCAAGCTGCGGGATACGAATGCCTACCCGCTTTAGGCGACCTACCCGCTATAGGCGACCTACCCGCTTTAGGCCACCCTCCCCTATGTATTTTCAAACATCATCACACAGGATGATAATTACTTGGGTAATGTGCCCATTTATTTACTTCCTACCTCTATTTCTAGGCAACAAGGACCAGAAGGTTTCCACCTCAAGGATCCTCACCTGATGATCCCGACCCTGTCCCGGCCAACCAATAAGACTGCGACATGTCCTAACTCCCCTAAAAGTTTGACGCAACATTATCACCGACACCCTGTTATATATATGTATTATTAACTTGCACATTTCGAAAAAATAGACTAAAATGTCATTTAAAAAAAATCAGTAACTTTAAGAGCAAAACTAATTTCAGATTTGGAATCTCCACACTCAAATTAGTTAAGATCATGTATTTATATAAATGCAAAAAAATTGTTCTCCGGTATGTTGTTAAATACATAATGTAACATTTAAAGAAACTAAAAAGAGACTTAAACTTGGACTCAACATAAATAAGTGTCTTATAATTGTAATTTTATAAAAAAATTATGTCTTATTTCTCAGTGAAACTAGATCAGTCAGGAATGAAGCTTATACTCAACAATGATTGTCTATTTTACAACCCTTGCCTTGCAAATAACCAAAATATTTGAAAATCTTAGTAGCTATTTAAAAACGATGTAAGTGCATTTCAAATACAAATATCTAGTATTAAGCTACATATTCCAGGTTAATGATTGTTTTAATTTGAAATTTAAATTCTAATCTTTTAAAGAAAAAAAATGCTTTATCTTTCTGGCAACGAAGATTGAAAGTTTAATATTTTTATTGATTAATTTTATTAACAATTTATTATTATTTATTCTGAAATAAATAAATAAATTAACAAAATAGATGCTGACAGATTCATAAGGAGGTTCTTTATGAGGAATTAAATTATTTAAAGAAGAATTATGAGTTTGCTAATGGGGTTTTTCTTTAAAGAAAGAACATCGTTAAAACTCGGTTCATTAATTTTGTTTGTGCTGTAATTGTGGTTTTTTTTCAACTTCTATTCGGAAATGATTTAAATTAATGTATGAATCAAATAAGAAATATGATACTAATCTTCGTTATTTATAGCTAAAGTGCAGTTTTTTAACAACAATATTTATTGTTTCTTATGGCACGAGAATTTCTGAACTTTGAAATGATGAAGATTCATTTATTATAGAAGTCATTCTTAAAAATAAAAGTGTTTACGAAGTTTATTCTACTAAATCATTTTTTTCTTGCTTTTACTTCAAAATTATTGCATTTTTAGGAAATTATTGTTATTCAAAAAGATGTTTAATGAGCTTAAAATTTTGATTTATAATTTGAGTTTTCTTCGAACTTATTCTACGTATTTCCCAACATCTATTATTTTATACATAAAAAAAGCTTAATGTTTATTTTGTAAACATTTTTAGTAAATTATATATTTGAAATGCTTTTAGAGCCTTTAAATTTTCAGAATTTTAACCAAAATAATTCTAATATATTTCCTTCTTCTTTTTGTAAACTTTGCATATTCAGTTAACGTTTTGTGATTTAGATTTATTTGTTTAAATCAAGAATAAGAACATTTCTTACGAAATTACAAATTTTTTAACGTTTTTTTTAATTAATTAGTAAGTCGTCTTATATCTTAACAAGGAGCCATAAATTGTTTACATTATAATCAAAATCAGTTGTAACCATTCCTCAAAATAATGGAATCTAAAGATAGTTGTACAAAAAATTGATTAAATTATTTGTGTTTGCTGTCTTTATGTGTTTACGCAAATTTTACAAGCGATCCTTATTAATAATTAATAGAAACTTCGCTGAAAAACAAAGCTAGTAATAAACGTAGAATATTTTTTTTTACTTTTTTAATATTGTAACACACTAAATTTCTGGCAGCTTTGCACGCAGATTCATTTAAATAGAACTTGTGTGTCTTTAAATTTTTTTCTTCCAAATTTTAAACCTCGATTAACTATTTTTTCATTCAATAGAACATAGAAAATAGAAATAATTATAAATAGAGAAGACAAAGAATTATTAAAATAAAAATTTAAAAAAAATTAAAAAAAAAAATTTTTATATATTAAAATGACGAAAAACAAAAAAAAATAAAAAGATAAAATCTCTTCATCAGCTCCCAGGATTATATCCTCTAAAATGAGTGCTTTTTAATCTTTTATCAATATAGCCGAAGTAAAATATATCAATGCAACAGTGTGAGGAGCACTAAAAAAATTGAAGGAAAATAGAACACGTTACGTAAAAATAAATCATGCAAAAAATAGAAAATAAAATGTAAAGAAGACAGAACAAAACACAAAATGAAACCTGTAAAGTGAGTAGCGAATTCTAATAAACTTACACCTACCGGAATCTTTCAAAAATGTAATACGATTTTAATCATTTTAGAAAACTAATATTTATTAAAAAATGGAGAGAGAGATACATGATTTGCATGTTTCGCATAGATTTTCAGCCTCAGAATAGCACGAGTTGGATTTTCACATTTGAAAAATATGAATTAACAAAGAAGTAAATTTATTAATAATGCCATACAAAATTTCATCAATCCTGTTTAAATTTTATTGTCTGTATACATTTGAGAGATACCATTTGGACATTTTTTTCTGATGAAGAACTGATTCCAACAGTTTTAGCGGTTTCTAATAAAATCCATACTTGTTCATTCACAGGTTCTGCAGCCGAACTATTTGCTGAAGAAACTACTGAAAAATACGTGAATTTATGAGATCGATTGTAGCAACTACATCTGCATTACTCGATCTTGAAACTAAAAATTAATATTGATAAATTCTGTGAAAGAATTAAACTAAATTTTTCAAGACAAATGACAGAAGCTTACGCTGATAAAAGTTTAAATTTCCCATGAATGACTATATTAATGTATGGCATCTTTTCCACTTATAGGCTAATAGATTGAGCTTTCACTGCATTTGTATGAATAAACAATTGTTTCTTATATAACGTTTTTAAAAGAATAGTCTATGTAAATTAAATTATAGCAGTTGACGTAAAACATTAAATGCATTTTAAGTAGTTTTCAATCTCAATGTACAAGAAGAAGAAAACAACACCTTAAAAATTGTTATAAAGACACTGCAGAAGAAAATATTTCATATTTCGAAAAGAAACCTTGAAACTACAAGAAATGGACATTGGGACCCAATGGATGAAAAAAATGATGCAGACTGCAAACATTAACATCATTGACAATTCAACTTATTCATGATTACTTTTATCAATGGCATTATTTTTTTGTAATGGACTATATAAACATTTTTAATTAATCTCATGTACAATTTCTTTCTACTACTTTTTAACTTTGAGTTTCAATTTCCAAAATCTGGGATAGAACAGTGGCACCCGAGATACTGAAACGCCAAATAAAGTCAAGATGAGTTCAACTCATATTCAATTCCGTTTAAAGTAAAATATAGCTATTTTAAATAAGTTTAGACATGAAAAATCCAGTCATTGATATTCTATCGTTAACAAATAAAGATTAATCAACAAGCAGTTAATTGAGGAACAATATATGGTGAAATATTAATTTCCTAACAACTTCTGAAAAAGACTGCTATTACTACACTGAAGTAAATATGGTTGAAACTACCAGAATATGCTGAATTTTACCGTGATTCAGACTTTGTGGAAACACCAAAATGCTAGTTAATTTTTCCAATGCACTGTAATAAGGAAATCGGTAATAAAAATAGCATACGCTTTTATAAAAAATAACATACGCTTTTATGTGATAAAATTTAGAAAATTTGATAATTTTATCAAGATCTGTTAGAACACGGTAAAAAAAAACTTTATACGGTAAAATTTATTTTCTATTCAAAGCATTCTTTTTTTTCCATTACAAAAAGTGAAATATTGATAATGTGATAAAATTAGAAGCAAAAAAATATGTCTGAAACAAAAAAAAAAAAAATCAGTACATGCAATTCAATAAAAATATTTATTATAAAAATGATTTAAAGCAATAAGACATACATTTTTAAACGCATTTAAAATGAGCAACACTTAAGTGCTAAGGTACATTTTAAGATAATGTTCACAATTAAAATGAGCCCGTGGGTTTTACAGAGTACTCAAAATTAGCAAAATTTTCTCCAATTACTGAAAACTTTATTTAAAAAAGTATCTAAACTATATTTTACAAAAACTTAAAATCAACAAATTTATTTTCAAGACACGAAAAACAATGCATTTATTTTTGACAAAGTGAGGAAAGCATGATTTACAATAATATGTTTTATATAGAATCAGTGATATTATAAATCTGTTGGAGTATAAGTGACGCAGCGAGCTATACGTTTTTTTCCAGATAAGTAATTAAAAATCAGTTTACATATCTCCATAATGATTGCACATAAATTCTTGCAATTAAATAATATCATCATTTAAATAATAAAAAATAATGTAACAAAAATTAATTATAAAGAAAAAATATTAAAAATTAATTGCAAATTAATTAACAAAAAATTTATTATAAATAATATATAATATCCACAAACTAATAATATTTTGTGTAAA